TCATCTCTCTCTCTCTCTCTCTCTCTCTCTCTCTCTCTCTCTCTCTCTCTCTCTCTCTCTCTCTCTCGCGTTTGTTTAGTTTATTAGGTTTCTTCTTTACTGTCAGCTAATTTAGTGTCTGGTCTGAAGTATTCACAAGTATTCCGGCCAGCTTTGCACGCTTGGCTTATCAAGAACCTGCGTAACGTCTGGCGAGTGTGAGGCATTTCTTTTCAGTCAGTTGTTGCAAGCTTCTTTTTCTTGGTTTTTGTTTTTTTGTTTTTGGTGTTTTGTTTTGTTTTTGGACGAGTGCAAACGTACACATCCGTGTGACAGGTTGCGGCGTCAGCTAGGCCTAGGCTCTGTAATATCGCGGTCAATGTATTCTCTTCTCGTTCTCACAATTATTTATTTACGCGCACTGTTTTTGTTGATAAAATTTGCGACGGTCTATATAACTGCTATTGTTCGGTTGTTGTTTGATTGGGGGTTTTGTTGTTTTTTGTTGTTGTTTTTTGTTTGTTTTTTTGTTGTTGGGTGGGTTGGGGGTTTATTTTTTGGTTTTTGTTTTGTTTTGCTGTACTACATATTATTACACTTCGTTATTACTAAATGGTTTTGTTAGTGTTTATTTCCGACGTGATATTCCTATTACTACATGTATAGGTTGTTGGGTTTTTTCCTTCGACATTGATCTACTGTTATTGATCTAAATTGTTTTGATCGGGGCGTAAAACATGCATTTTTAAAAAATAAAGTCATACTCCTACCTTGGTTCTTTTGTTAGCGTTTAATTTTCCACTCGCTATCTCTACAGTGTATATATTATACTTGTACTTACTTGTTTAATGTGTTTTCCACGTAACATTTTCACGTACGGGTAAAACGTTGTTCCCGCATCCGAACCGGACATTAGGGATTTGCTTTGTTAGTGAGACAACTTCCTAGGCCTTCGGCATATTGTGGTAGGGTGGCCAGTTCCTTTCCACGCCGCCTTTATTTTCCCAACTCGAAGTCAAGTACCCATTACTGCTGGGTGGGAAGGAAGTGGCGAAAGAAATCCGTATCCGAACCGAGGCTCGAACCCGGACTTTTCGCTTCGGAGACGAGCGCACTAACCGCTCTGCCACACGTACGGGTGGCTTTTTAAAATGTTTGTTTTTTTAAATACATGTACATACGCTTTTATATAGCTTCGTTTGATAGTCGACGTGTTTTTACTATACTATATATATATTATATGTATAGATCTATGCAG